CTCTTATTCGATTACTTAAATTCGCAATATAGGTAAATCCATCAAATTTATTATGGAACTGGAATCTAACAATAGCCTGTCCTTCCTCGATTGCAATATTACTGAATCTAATGGCTGTTTTCAAACTTCTGTATTCCAAAAATCAACTTTCACAGGTCTCAGTACCAGCTTTTTTAGCTTTTGCTCGTTATGATTTAATCATTTTGATTTAATCATTGCCAACCCTGCAACATTCATCAGTAAATAAACATAAAAGATGCCAAAATTTATGGTGAGCAATTGGTGGCACTGGTAGGCTTCAGTTACTACAAGGAAACAACAATTAAAGATTTGGCCTTGCAAAATCATCTCCTGTCATACCCAGTGTATTTTCAGCCCTTCTAATGAGTTATGTGCCTAATGTGGCTGAAACACCTCACCCCAAAGGTCTAAGAATATTAAGCAAACAACAAGCAATAGCAAAGCAAACAAGAAACAAACCATTACAAGTGCACCTGAATATCTTTTGACAGTTATCATCGAGCATGCCATGTTTGTGTTCAACTGTCACATGCAGTGATGCTAAAATGCAGACCCAGACACTCAAACCTCCTCGTTACAATTCTTTCAAGAAAGTTGCAATATTCCTCCAAGAGTAATATGTAACATCAATTTTGATCTTATTACATAACGATGTATCAGTAACTGATACACACTCTAATGCCTGACTGTTTACATCTGAAACCTATGTACACAACACTGTCAGCACTCAGATGTATGCATTCATGAAACGCTTGCACAATACCGGTACGGTACCTGTCTATGTTACTATGTATATCTGAAAAGTACATTGACTACAAGGTATGATAGATGCATTCTTGATTTACACACTCTAAACCTCAAAGCTAAATCTTAAAGAGTTAAGAGTAGCACTTAAAAACTGTGTACAGTTGCCTTCTTCCATTGCATACCTGCAGTATCAAACATATTGCTATTTTGTCAATTTCCCTCAGGGGGACGTCTGACACATGTCTGTGCTCGTCAAAAGTCTTATGGGATTTCGCGCTCCTAGGGGGATTGTTCCCGAGCGCCCCACCGCTGAGCTCGCGGTGTCTGACTGTTGGTCCCAGTTGTGGGGTTAAGTTATTATGTAGGTAGGATTCCTTACTTTTCCCTTCTCTGTCTCTTGTGCGGGCGGCCTACGTCCCGTGTAACCAACCTCTTGTTCGAGTGTCTTCGTTTCTGTTGCTTTTCACCTGGCCCTCCTTGTCACTTCGTCTCTTTGAGATGCTAACGCGGCTTCTCTCAAGCCAGCTTCAGCGGGCTGGACAACTGAGGCCTTCCGCTCCTTGTGGGTGATGAATAATTTGACACTGAATAATTGAGACCTTCCGCCTTCTGGCGATGTTACATTTTGACCTCCGGCATGAAATAGCTTGATAGCTGAAGCGCTAACAAACCATTCTACTACTACCATTTTGTCAAATTGATTACAACTCTAATTTTTGATGCATTTTATCATACATCATGCTTCAATAAATAGTGCTTTGCTAAGGTTGCTGGTGGCGTACAACAGCTTGGTAACCTATGGCTGATTGCATCCAAACTAACTGAAGACAACCAATCTAATTTTAAATTATTGTTCAAACAAATGTGCATTTATTGTTTAAGAACTAATGTAAGTGCTGGAAGTGGACGCATTTGCATGTTCACCGAAGTCAATTAAAAATTCTAATTCTGAAACAAAGTACTTTATTTAGCATAGTAAAATGATAATTATGAAATGTAGGTTGAGTCTCATCTCTATCAAAGAATGTCTCATTATTGAGACCAAATCAATAATGAAACTAAATCAATTCTTGCTTTTGGCTCAATTTCTTTGTGTAATTTTCAATCACATGCTTCTGCAACATAGCCTTTGTTTGTAGCCATCTTCCCATCTTTGTCCTTGAACCATATAAACCCCCTAAGAGTGTTACCCTTTCCTCATTTATAATGCCTTTATATTGTGTTCATGACCCAAGAAACTCACTAAATAACATGTTCTTCAAATGCATTACATCTCACACTCAAATCTGTTTGGTGGCCTTTGGCCTGCAATTCAAGCAAAATAGAATCAGGCGCTCAATCAAATACCAATTCAGTTTTGGGGCTTTCTAAGTCATCTTAAGTTCATGCAAATACATTAGATCAATTCATTCAAAGCCTGTATTTTGTGAGGTGACTCCAGTAGCTTTGACTGTAAACATTAATTCTTAGTTTATGAAACAAATTATGTTAGTCAAGTTGAAATTAATATCAGTGCATGGCTGCAAACATTCTCTTCCTTTGTTCTGGTGCACCACTTATTGTAATAGAAACATAATTTGCACATACTACTTGCANGGCTGGCTGGGGTTTGCCTGTCTCTTATACACATCTAGATGTGTATAAGAGACAGGAGGTAGGATAAAAAGTTTCCATCTGAAGCAAACCATAAAACAAATAAGAAGATTGTTAATAAAAAGCATGTTCTGGTCATAAATCAAGCTTATATAAAAAAAGCTTCTGCCAAATTTCACCAAGAAAAGATGTTGTAGGTATGGTTAAAAATTAAAATGATTGAAGTATGGTTGAAGTTGTTTTCAGAATAACTACCTATTATTCCAAAAACAACTACAACATCCTTACAAATCCAGTAGTTTGCAAATTGATAGCTGGAAACTTATCTCCGATTATGAGACTCTGCTATGGCCAGTCTTGTAGTATCAGGGCACTGCATAATGATGCTGGTGCAGGTCTCCAATGTCGTGCAGGTGATGTTTTAGTTACAAGCCTCCTGCATATGGTTCTTTGCTCCTCCAGTGTGCAGGTGGCATGTGAGTTTGCAACTCAGGGTCATGCTGGTCAAAACCAATGTAATTCAGAATTTTGAGAAGTCTACCATCTTCTTTTGTACAGGAGAATTTGTAAATAACATCATTTCTTTCTGTTTGTTGCATAGGTATTTTTACATGGGCTATTTATCTGGTCACCAGGATTAACTATCAAAACCAGATTAGCAGTGGTTATAGGACAGACAAAAAAGTCCTCAATTCAATTGTGCAAAATAACATCAGATCCCCAAGCGTATCTGATCACATAAAACTCCTGATTTACTACAAAAACCAAGGAAATCAAGAATTTAATTATTAAAAATAACCCTTGTAAAAAGTTGGGACCACTGAACAAAACCTATGTTATTTACAATTTCTCATGTACAAAAGAAGGTTGTAGACTTCTCTTAAATCTAAATAACATTAATTTTGACCAGCATGACCCTGAGCCCCAACTCAGATACTACCTATAAACTGGAGAATCAAAGAACCATATGCGGGAAGCTTTCAACAAAACCATCACATTCACAACATTGGAGACCTGCACCAGCAATAGTGATTTTCTTTTCCAGTTGGAATCAGTCTTAGCCTAGTCCTACTTAGAATTTTAGTTAGAAATTCTACACAGACCGTAGAGGCGTAGAGTCGTAGATTTTACTCTAAAATTTGTGGTGGTTTAGGACTAAGGATGTTTTATGTTTACTACATTATGTGTATTTAAGTTTAACAGTTAAAACTTAAAAGTAGGCTAGTTCATAGTTTCATAAATTCATACTACGTAGTACGTAGGCACTAGCTAGTCTGGAAAAGTCCTATTTTTGTCTGAAATATCGCGGCTCTAATATCATATAATTTCAGTAGGTATGAAATCTCACGGCTCGAATGTCATAAATTTTTGTTTGATTAAAAAATCGCGGTTTGCACTTCGCAAACATGTCATTTCATAAAATTTTCAACTTCCGCAATCCGCATTGCTTTACCGTTTTCTCTTATACACATCTAGATGTGTATAAGAGACAGGCATTATATAGTATAGACATATGTTTGAATTTAAATAAAACACATTTTATTTCTCCACCTACGAAAGGTTCAATGAATGCATGTATGGAACTTTCAGGGTTCGGTATCACCAAAAAGGATAAAACCACTGTAAATTAGCTCGAACTGTAACTAGCGGACAACGAACTGCGACCAATCAGCCCAGCTTGCCAGTAGAACTGCATGAATCCTGCCGTGCACCACCAGATGGTCAGTTTTAGCTCACAGCACCTGAGGTCAGGTGTCAGATAGCAAAGTTATGTTCCGAAATTTATCGTCCTAGAACGCGTGGCCGTTTGACCGTAGGCTGATTCGACACGGGACCGATACGGACGGCTCGGTGGCGCGCATCATAATCACTGCAAGGAGGCCGGTATACCTTGGACGAGTCTCCAGAGCTCCCTCAGCTCTAAAAGAAGAAGAAGAAAGGCTCCGGCGCACTCCGTCCAGGTTGTGTAAATTTTGTTCGCGTATTGGCTGACGATCCTGTGGGCTGATTGATCTAATTCAATGGATGTGATCGGTCTGGTGGCTTGTGGCTTATAATGTGTAAGTGAAGAAGTGTTATTAGCACTTATAGGCTACGTTCCTGAGGGAAGGGATCAAGATAGTCCATTCGAAGTACGTCAATGGTTGTCTCCGACAGGCGTCCCCCGGTAATAACTATGTTTTGGGATTATATTCTCCTAAAGAAAGACTATCTAATAGTTTAACATAATTAATTTCGTTAAAAAGTTCATGCGTGACTGATTCAATTCATTGAAGACTTCTGTGCTGCAGCAATCAGAGAGCCGCTGATGTCTTGCAACAATATCAATACCTTTAGAAGATATAACTACTACTATTCCTGATGCTGAAACATCTTAATCAATTTTTGGGCTTGGTTCCGGCCCAAGGAAAGGTTCCGTGGATTTGTAGGTTAATTACTATTTTCCTCTTTATTTGATATATATATATCCATTATATCGCAAAATTTGGTGTTCAAGTTACGAATTTTCAACAGAGGACATTTAAGATTGTAAGGCCTTCATTGGATACAGTTGGGATTCATATAAGCCAAATGTCCGTCATTTAATTCTGCTCTAAATCGCAATTCAGGGACTTAGTTTGTAAACTACGGCGGGCTGACTTTGGCAGGCGTGTTGACATGGCTGAATGAAATCCATAACATGCCAACAATCGTTTCAAACTTGAGATTTTCTGTAAAGTAGACCGCGTACACATTACTCATTAGTAATTTGTTAATAACGTGCGGTAAGTAACACTAGGATTATAACTCATTATGATACGATCATATTAATCTCTTTATACTTAGTGAGTTAGGCTAGTGATTTTCTTTTCCAGTTGGAATCAGTCTTAGCCTAGTCCTACTTAGAATTTTAGTTAGAAATGCTAGCCTACGTAGAACGTAGACGTTACTCTAAAATTTTGTGGTGGTTTAGGACTAAGGATGTTTTATGTTTACTGCATTATGTGTATTTAAGTTTAACAGTTAAAAGTAGGCTAGTTCATAGTTTCATACTACGTAGGTACTGTGGTACATAATAAGGTACTGTAGCAACATTTTAGACCAGAAAAATGTTTTCTCGTCAACAATAAAATGCGCTCTCTGTCTGTCTGTCACTCACTACAGTTCATAGTGGCAAAGCAGAGAGTTTTTTAGACTCTCCCTCAATTTCATTTGTGAGTCCTATAAGTAGACCAATGAAGTATCCTGGATACCTCATCATACCAGTAGTATCATACATAAGGAATTGATATAAATCTTGGGTAAATGAGGAAATTAAAAATGAACTGATTCTACAAAAAGCTCTGGTTTGCCACTATGCTACAGTTAGTACTGAGTTATATTTATTTCATATTTGCCAACAAGTTTTACCGACAGATTGACGGTTTGCGTTTGGGCATGGGTCTTCCACTCGGGCCCCAACCTTTGCGAATATTTTTATGTGCTTTCACAGTCAGTGTGGAATTCTGTATAGTTAATATATTCTCATGCATAGTGACAAAGCAGAGAATTTTTTAGACTCTCCCTCAAGTTCATTTTTGAGTCCTATAAGTAGACCAGTAAAGTATCATGGATACCAGCATTATCATACTTAAGAAATTGGTTTAAATCTTGAGTTTTTAAGGAAATTAAAAATGAACTGATTCCAAAAAAGCTCTGGTTTGCCACTATGGGTTACGGTGCTCGAGCAATTCAAAGATGTGTTATATCATGAAGGCAACCCCACAACAGTAATACCTAGAGTACACTGCACACCCTCACATTAGCAAATCAGGATGTCAACTGCAACTTCTGCAAGGTTGCTGACTTGCTTAGTTGTCTCATTACTCTCGTAGGTACTTGGTGTTTGGTGAGCCGAAAGGCGGTATTCATAAATCGCGTTCACGTCATATTTGCTTCTCGAGCAATACAACGGTCAAGTGGTTCGACGAACTTGAACGTTGCTCCTGGTCCAGTAGCTTCTGTTCAATTGCGCGTCTGGCTTCCGTATTTTCTGGCTTCAAACTTCATGCGGATTTCACTTTTCTGATTGCGCTGCGGAATTCGACTTGCATTCATTATCAATTTTGTGCATCCTGCAGAATTAGTGCCATTTTTTCGCAGCCTAAGCCCCCTGCGGAATTCATTAACAGGTGGACTAATCCCTCTCTCTTATACACATCT